CACACACACACACACACACGCACACACACACACACACACGCACACACACACACACACACACACACACGCACACACACACACACACACACACACACACACACACACACACACACACACTATGGTTGACAAACTATGTTTTGTCTTCACCCTCTTTAAACTACCTAAAACCTAGATTTGCTTTCGTGCATTACCAATCCTTATCGGCCATATTTACCAATACCGATCGGCTATTTGGTTATATCGGATGACATATTGGCCTGGCTGATTCATCAAAAGGGTTAACAGACCCTAATCTTTCAATCATGTTTCCACTATTGCTTTAATTTGACAATAGCAATGTATTGAATGTAGCAATATTTCAAGTACATATCCAATACAAAAATAGCCCTATGATGATGGATTGTGTACAGTAGGTGTGTTTGTAGGAAGGCAAGATGTGTGTATGTACTGTAGTTTATTTAAAATGTTGAGCTGTACTAATGTGAAAGGGGCCCTGTCATGCTTGTTGGGGTTTTCCCTATCCTGTATGTGCTATATAGGTTTTTGTGCATGTAAATGGGACAGTTCCAACACATCTCTAAGCGGTTGACCAATCATAACAGAGCCGGCCAGCTAACCAATCAGAGCAGACTGGGCTCTGGTTTCAGACAGAGGGTGAAAAGAGGTGCTGCAGCACAGGCAGTATGAGAAAAGTAAAGAGCTTTTTGAACATTAAAGCATGGAGACAAACAAATATGAACCTGAAACTGATCATAATATGTCCTCTTTAAGTTGTTGTGTTTTTATGGAAAGTGTTAACTGTCGTTTTGGAAATGGCAGTTTGTGATTCCATTGAACTGTATTATGTTATACTGACTAGTGTTCAGCCACATTTATTTCAATATAGGTTAAATAGCCTCATATTGCAATACAGTTTAACTGCACCACAAACTACATGCAGCAACTAAAGCCTAGTTCAATAAACAACTCAATGAAACTTTTTCTTCAAAAAAAGACATTTATTCTAGTCTCTATAGACTAAAGGCAGCATTTATTGCAAAGCAGTTATTAGAATGCATTATAATTTTTTTAATCCCGGACTCGATTAAAAAAATTAATCTAATGAATTAGAGGCTTTGTAATTAATTAATCGAAATTAATCGCATTTTTAATCACATATAAATATTTGACCTGAGAACAGTGAGAAGCAATTTTTTTCACATGGATTTTAGTATACCATTAGGCGCATTCACACCGCAGTACTTTTCCCACAAAGGTTCATGAGAATTTAGTTCATGAGAAATATTTGAACCTGGGGGTGGATTAGGCAAATGAAGCCGCTGACGTCACTTCTTCTTCTTCTGCTTTGGGTTTACTGGCAGGCCGCAAACCACTTCACGGCGTATACTGCCGCCCAAAATCCCCGGCCGGAAGTTCCCGGAGTTGGGGACTGGCTTCAGTAGAAGCTGCTGGGAGTCCCAGCAGCCTTCCGAGTAAATCGCCAGAACGCCGACGCCTCCTCATCTCCACCGCTCCCATGTTTTATTTTGTGTTGCCATAAGTTAGTCTCTCTGCGTTTCTGCGCTGGGCTAATGCTAATAATGCTAATGCGAGGATAATAAAATGGCGGCTTCACAAAACTTTTTGGGAGTTTTACGGGGCGTGGTTTGTAATCCGCCCAGCCAATCAGAAATATAGCTATTTTCTCACAAGAGAGCCGTACGAAAGTCCCTGCTCTCTAGCAGCTCTCTGCTCTCTAGCAGGGACTTTCGTGGGGGTAAAAAGGTTCTCATGAACTAATTTTAGTACCGGCTCTTTTTGGTGTGAACGCGATAAAAGAGGCTAACGTCCACGCTAGCTGCTATATGTTTTGCATTGAGGTTATACTTGAGGCTTGATGTGCTGCGGTGATATGCGAATTCCTTTTTGCATAATTTGCACACAACCGTGCTCTTATCGACGCTTCCATCCGTCCGTTTTTTAAAACAACATTTCCCACTGTTGTTCACTGTGGTTTGTTGTTGTCTGAAGTCATGAACGTTAGTTGGTGCTCCAGTATAATCGGTACGCCTGAAACTCATCCAGTGAGAAACGTTCCGCGGTGCAAAAATAAGTGCGATTAAAATGCGTTAATTTTTTTAACGCGTTAATTTTTGTGTAATTAATTCATCTTAATTAACGCGTTAAAGTCCCGGCCCTAGTTTAAACACATAAAATAAGTGCATGTTCCACTTGTGGCAAGACTTGGACTGTGATAAGACTTTATTAGTCCAATAAAGACTGTAATTACTTGATTCATATTCTGTACCAGTGAGAAACAATTAATGTACCAACCTGAACATCCTGTACTGAACAGACAATACATGCTAATCACAGATTCCCGCCCGTGATGGTGTTTGAGTAAGGATTGGGGGGGAAATGCATTCAGTCACCAGCATTAAGTGGAAGAGAGACTTATGTAGTGACATAAACAGAGAGTCAAGGCTAAAACCATGCTACTGTGTCAATGCAGCTGCTAAGTGAAATCTCATTTATATAAAGCGGCAGAGGCGATTATGATCTCAGAGAGGCATTTAGAGTGTTTCCTTTCAAAACCATCAGTCAGTTGCAACATTACAGCAGGGCCCTATTACCTTGACATTTGAAATGTGTAGATGAGGGAAAGATGCCTTGTTGTTGTTGCATTTGGGTTCAAATAGTGGGAGGGCTTATTCAGTACCTGCGTCTGATGCTGAAGAGTAAGGCTTTAAAGGCAGGACTGCAGGCTATGAGCACTCGCAAAAACAATAATAACAAATCCAGCTCTGGTATATTATAAGACCAAGTGAAGTGGCAATTTGGTACAAATACAATTCAAACTGGTTTCTTTCATCATCTATTGCTCGTTTTAGATTAGTTCCATTTTTTGTGATTTGTCTTAGGGCAATATCCCCACACCATCGAGAGGAGTTGCTACATTGTATTACCAACATATGTGGTTTGCTTTTACCTCTAAAGTAAATGTGAAATGTTTTTCTGGAGTCAGTTTGCACTTATGTTTCTGTAGATTCAAATCAAAGACATGAGATTGCTATCACTTATGCAATTTAGGCAAAAACCTCAATCATATTACTATTTGACTTTAGTCATCAATTGACCATCAAGGAGTGATTTTGAAGTGCTCTAACTTTTCTGAAAGGCTTGCTCGGTTTGTGGTTAGCAATTTCAGTCCTCCGCACTATTGCCCTCATCCACTGAGGCAATCATTTGTTATTCATTTGAAATTGTTGTTATTTAGTATATCACCACTTTTGAACCCAACCCTGAATGCAAGAATGGTACAATTGGGTTTTTTCATACCACAGAAATGGCATGATAAACTTAGATAAGAAAATAGTAGGTTTGCATGCCTTTTTTGAGAAAGTCCCTTCCATGCTAACGTTTCTTCACTCCCTTCATCCAAAACCTTAGTTCCTAAGAGATCCAAGAATTTCAAATTCAGATCAAAGTCGTAAAATGTATGAGTAAAAATGGGATTGAGGGTGCTTGCTGGAAATGGACCGAACATCAGGATCGAGACCGCTTGAATGTGTTGGTCTCGGTTTGGTTTGGTTGGGCAAATAGTTTGTGGTGTGAACGCAAACAAACCAATTTGCCTATTCAAAAATCTATTTAGGAAATACATTTACATTTCATCTGCATAATGCCCTTAGACAACCTATTTATGCAAATCATGTTGTAGCAGTGATTAAACATATTCACATTAGCACAGATAGTTTCCCTTATTAATAGGTCAAAAGCTGTTAAATCTGCAGAGTAATTAATGTCTATCTTTTGGTTTATATTCATAACATGCAGTACATTTGCACTCTCATAATAATGCTTTTAATCAGTTACTTGTTTGTGCTCTCTTTTTGACAATGCAGACCATAAATATACACACCAGAAACACTAAAGGCCCGCAAAAATGCAATGAATTTCCCCGCGTGGGTCTAGGTGATGCATGATCAAAAATATCTGTCCAATCAAAGAGTCATCTGTAAGTCTGAATAACTTATTTGTAACGACTCAATGTTTGTTTTTACAAAGTCAGGGCAAACGGGAACCAGGCCGGAACTGGAATTCAACTATTTCGTTGTTTTCCCCTTGGTCAAGAAAAAAAAGATTGAGACCAACCCATCCAGGGTCACATAAAACAAATTAGGAATATCATGCATTGTTTTTATCTATAAGGAGCCCAGTTGCGATGTTCAGTCAGGCAACAAATAAAAAAACGTCATTGGAGATCGATGATGGGCGACTATATATAGTTGAATTAAAAGAAATAGGAGATCGATATCCTGTCAGTCTGCTGGTGGACAAGTGGCAGGCATCAGGCTAACACATAAACTGGGATTTCCTTGGCTCATCAGTGTTTTATATTTGAATGCAGCATCTACAGTCACTACTTTGACTTTTAACATTACAAGTGTTAACCTTATTAGCGTCACAATGTAGCTGGGATGAAGTGTTTCCCACAGACAAACGTGCATCGACTGACAGGGTCCCATTGATTACCCTGTCTGACCTCTCTGTGGAGGGCCTGAAGCCACAGATATTTTTCTTTCATCCCCCTTTTCTTTAAATAAAAGTTAAAAAAAACTGAACTTTGGATCATTTTGACGTATAATAAATGAAACAGCAACTTTTTCAGGGATGATCAAAATATATTTTTCGCTTGGTGCTCATTCTTTGTTTTCACTGGAAAGTGGACGGGGACTTTATTTTGCGTGGCAGTGAGGTTGTGTTGCTCTCATCTATGGAGGCAAAGTACCAGACCAGTACTTAATTGTACTTTTTCCCCCTCCTTGATTAAGGCAAAATAAACCGAACCACAGCTGCTTAAGCACTCTAAAATACTTTTTGAAATAGACTTCTCAACTACTGTTTTTATTTGTATCTTTTAACCTTCCTCCTGTCCTCCTCCCTTTCACCATCATTGCATCGAGGACTGTGTCGGCTTATTCTGATTCATGTCTTGTTCATTTCCTGATGTGTTGCAGTGGGTACCAGTGCTGTCGGACTTCAAGTCTAAGGACACGGTGTGGAGCTTTGTGCCACAGAAAGCAGGCCAACCCATGGCCCTGCACTTCGGGGACTACAACCTGGACGGCTTCCCCGATGCCCTGGTGGTCCTCCGCAACACCACTGACAGGTAGGAGAAATATCTTTTGTTGTGACTTGGGTTAGAAAGTCCACATAAATACACTATATAAATGCAGTCCATTTATTATTCACACACAGTTGCCTTTCTTCTCGCTCTAGGACCTTATTTGACATAATGTCTCGTAAATGATGCGATATTTTTGAAATGATTCCTTGCTTGGCAGGCGATCCTTTGGAATCCTTTCAAGTAGGTCCCTGAACTCCACTCCTGCTAATCGTTCCATTGCTTTGCCTCACTTCATTGATTCGGAAGCATGCAGTTTGAATGTCCACATCCATGAATTGAATATATTGTTTACAGTTGCACACAGATGGCGATTGCATTAGGACTTGGAAATATGTCACGAGAATCATTCAATTCAATAAAATCCTCTCAATTCGGGCGAAAACTCGCCTTATTCGCTGCCCACATTCCAATATGTCATGTAATATTATACTTTTGATGTGATTCTAGTAACTTGAAATTGAAATTGATTGGAACCGAATAACTCCAGATGCATACTCAAATGGCTTATGTAAATCTGTTTAGCGACAAATCGATGTTTTTTAAGACACCACAGAGAGAACGGATTTACTCATTAAATGACTGTGAAATTACTACTTGCACTGACATTTTCTCATGCTGGTAGAATAAAAAAAACATTGCTCCCATATTGATATTAATAATTAAATAAAGTAGAGCAGGGATAATGAAATATAATGATTTGCAACTAATTTGGGGAATATATTTTAATGCTGATACACATAGGCAACACATTATTGTATTAATATTTGTAATTGGTTCACAGTATACACCTGTTTAAGAATAAAATCCTCCTCATACCACAGAATATTTTCAAAGAACAGCAATTTACAAAAGGAGATTTGAAGTTGCTTGGCGTCTTGCAGTGCTCTACATCTTGAAAAAATAATGTTTGATTTAAATTGTCTCATTAATAAATCGTATCAGCTGGAGCATAACTTAAGGTGATTGCTGACACTTTACCAACAACAATGTAAACAGTCCTTGGATGCTGAAAACAGTATGGAGGGTTAATATGTTCTGCACGGAGCAAAGCGTATCTATAGCATTTTAATATAATAGAAAAACATTACCATCCAGTTTACCAAAGCGAGAACTGGGAGCAAAAAGACAGCTAAGGTGAGTGTGTTCTTCAGCTCGGTGAATGATAAGCCATTCCTTTTAAAAAGAAAATCACTGCAGCACGTGCTAGGACGTAAGCACCATGGACACTACGATGTGAATGTGTGTTGAAGGACCTATGTGGATTATCTGGCCTCAGCGATGAAGATAAGATAGCTGAAGGGTTCATGGTTATGTCTATGCATACTGATTGTTTCGTGTTTGTGTGTGTGGACACAGTAAGATGTTGGTTAGGAACTACAAAAGATTCACACACACAAACATGTGAACCCTACTTTCTTGTCCAAGCTCTATATAATCACCAGTAAGTCCTGTCGGGCTTAACTCTTTGCTGTCACCCTCATCTAGAAATGACTTCTGTCTCACCAGCTCTAATCACACCAGCTATACAGTAGTTCCTCTCTTTTTCCCTCCCTTTCTCCATTTTTCTTTAAGCCTGACTATTGTAATCCCACACTTGGCTATAGACGTCATCACGGTGTTTCCCAATACAATTTGACCCAAGCAGTAACACTTTAAACCACAGATTACAGAAGAGGGTCGTTCAAAGGTTATTTACTGGAAAATGACTAAGAATTTACATAGTTGAAATGATTGGTCAGTTGCTCGTTTTGTCTTACTCATTAAAACATCCCTATTTTAAAGCTTTATGTATGTATAAAGACAAAGCCAAAACCAACATACACGTGTCTCATAAACCATTTCTGAACACACAACTCTGTTCTGTTATTGGGCCGGAGGTTTGTTTGTAGTAGCAAAGCTTCTGTATTACTGAATGGCAGCGGAGCAGAGTTATAAATAGAAAAACTGAAAAAGAAATGGGCTTTCTTCCGTTTGGTGGCTGTTAACAGAACCTTAAGCGCTAATCCCATAGAGTGGTGCAGTTACATTACATTACATTGCATTTAGCTGACGCTTTCATCCAAAACGACTTACAATAAGTGCGTTCGACCAAGAAGATACAAACTTGAAGAAAACTGAATCATATAAGTACAACAGGTTTCATAGAGCAAAAACATTTCAAGTGCTACTCAACTGGCTTTAGATAAGCCAGTCCTTTATTAGTATACAAGTGCTTTGTTAGTAAATCTATCGCTCGAAATGGAGTCGAAAAAGATGAGTTTTCAGTCTGCGCCGGAAGATGTGCAAGCTTTCTGCTGTCCTGATGTCAATAGCCGCTTTCACACCGCAGGACTTGCCGTACTTTAGTGCCGGCACTAAAGTACCACGGCACTGAATCCGCCAGGGGGATAGTGCCAATCGCATTCACACCGCAGTACTTTCCCTGAGGCAAGATTACGCTGACGTCACTTCGTCTTCTTCTTCTCTGGGTTTACTGGCAGGCCGCAAAACCACTTCACGGCGAGTACAACAAAAAACGAGAGAAGAAGAACTACACGGGGGGAGGGGGTATAAAGCCCACCCGCTGTATGAGGCGTTTGTTTACTTTCCGACCTCAGACATGATGGAGTTCATAAGGGTAATTTACAAATAAAATACCCCATTATAACAATGGACTTTATCTTTATGTATTTATTATATATTACCCCCTATATATTACCTGATTTTGGAAAAGGACATTAACCCTTGTTTGGTGTTTTTCCCTTATTTATCTAAAACAAATGACATGATAAATTACTTGTGTTTATGTGTGTAAGACTTGTGTTTCTGCCCCTGCCATTGCTGCACAAGGTTGCAGCATTGTAGATAAATTCAACCACCAACACCTGTCTGCTCTCACATTCTTCTATTCTGCAAATTTGGGGTGGGACACAATAAATAAAGCTTCGCCAGTTTGTTTGTTTTATTGCACAGTCAAGACATAACAATAACGGCATCACGTTGTTCCAGGTGTGTCGTATGCATGTAAATTGAAGTTAAATAAAAGTGTGAAATGTAAAATAAAGTGTAAGTAGTTTCAAAACAATGTAACAGTGGCAAATAGCAGCAGACACACCTTAGTGCAAGTTAGGTGTCAGTATTAAAAAAACAGTGGCAATATATATATACAATATATATATATAATAACAATAGAAAATCGTTACCACTCTTATTATTGTGGTCTTTAATTTTTTTATAGTCCTGCCTGAGTTTCTTTATTTGTACCCGGCATCCGTGTGCACTGTGCACGATTCCCAGCTCAAGTAGCTTTTGCGAACATCGCTCAAAACATTTGGAGTTGGGAACTGCTTTGTGTAGAAGCTGCTGCATCCCGTCCTCGGAGTAAATTGCTAGAAGCGCCGACACTTCCTCATCATTCTACCGCTCCGGTGTTGTAGTACGTGTGGTCATAACTGCTTTAAAGTACAAAAAACGACTCGCTCAGGTGTGGATGTGGTTTTGTAGCGAGGAAAAAAATGGCTGCCTAACAAAAAAAATTCAGAGTCTAACGGGGTGTGGTTTGCAATTCGCCCAGCCAATAGAAATAGAATAGAAATTGGCACTCTTTTATCACCAGGTTCGTACCACCTCTCTAGCAGGGACTGAAAATGGCCAAAAGAGTTCCCGTCACTGAGTAGTCCCGGCGGTGTGAACGCGACATTATTGGTACTAACGGAACTAAAGAACCAAAGTACCAGGGAAAGTCCTGCGGTGTGAATGCGGCTAATGGGGAGCTCATTCCACCATTTTGGAGCCAGGATAGCAAACCCACGTGTTTTTGCTGATGGGAACTTGGGTCGCCCTCGTAGTGCGCGTGCAGCGAGCCGTTTGGCTGATGCAGAGACGAGTCCTAAGACCCGGAAGTGAGTTAGCATTTTACCACTACGGATTCCCTCGTCTCAGAGTCAATGGGATTTCTCCATAGGATTTAGGAAAATAGCTGGAAATAAGGTCTGTGGTTGACACAAATTGAAGAGACGGATCACGTTTTGTTCTATGACATTAAATACATCAGCAGTGACCCCACTGGTGATTTTTGAAGAGTTTACGTGTCTGAAAAACAATGGTTGTTACCAAGTGGCTGAATAGGACTACAGAAGTTGTCGAGGCCGTTTTACGTCATTACACTCCCGCTAAGTTTGTTTGCCCCTGTTCTGCTTGAAAGCAAGTACCTGCCTCCTACAAACTGTTAAAACAAACGTTTCAACTTGTACAATTTTGAATCTGTATTTTTGAATATGGATCTTAAAGGGATAGTGGAAATCCGCGAATTTTGGGTTTAACTTATGTATTTTTATTAAAAATAAGCATAATAAACAATTTTTTTTTATTTCATGCGCCTAGTTTCATTTTATTTTCAATTTTACTGCGCCCTCTCAATGAAACGAAATACTTCGGGAATCGTCGGGAATCTTCGGGTGATGACGAGAGCATAGGAAGACGGGCACAAACAATGGCGGACATTCAATAGCATTTGCATGTGAATAGCCGACCTTTATTATGGTGAATAGATGTGTTTTGTATGGCTGTAGTGCGACAGCAAATGCAGAGAATGGCGTATCGACGCATGCGTTTCCAAGAAACCCAGCCATTCGTCGTCAGTGGGTGAAATTTGTTCAGATAACACGGGCAAACTTCACGGAGCCGAAGCTGACGAGTAATTCGGCAGTCGTGTGCTCCCGTCATTTTACTGACGACTGTTTCGAGAAGATGATGATTGATTATCAGTCAAAAATTCTACGTGACACAACGACATTGGATTAACCTTGAGATGCGTTTTTATTCCGTTGAACACAACTTTTGATCACAAATCAAAAAAGGTAAGACGTAATTATTGTAATATTTTTGGAACCGGATGTTGTTTACTTTCTCTTTTCTGGCTGATAGCTCCAGGAATTCGAGGTCTTACAGTGATGACATTACATGTGTGGAATCTGTGGAGTCTCAGCTTTAAATCGTATATC